TATATATATATACACTGCTCAAAATAATAAAGGGAACACAAAAATAAGACATTCAACTATGTTGTGTTCCCTTTATTTTTTTGAGCAGTATATATATGTATAAAAAGGATTACAGAACACAACCCAGGGCTCTCTCCTTCATACAAGCTGCTGGAGAAGAGAGCAGGGAAAAAAGCACCCGGAAACACAGAGCCTAATACATTTATCAGTTTTGGGCTAACCCCTTACACAGACAGCTGTAAAAACATCAGGAGCTGGAGACAGTCCGGCGTCTCCTTCTATTATCTAGAGCGCCGCATGCTTGGAGTAACTGGACATAAAATGAAGAATTCCATGTGTGTGTGTATGTTGTATGCGTGATGTGTATCTAAACATTCATTCAGACATATTTCTTACACAAGATTAAAACAAGAAAACAACTGGTATTAAGGTACACTTCTCCGAGTCAACATTATCTTCTAACCTTGAAGCAGAGCACACATGAGCAGACTTTGAATCTTACTAAACTGCATTACTAACACATTAAAGTCTAACACATTAAAGTCTAATAATTATCTGACTAACTTATTCATTTCTAACAATATATACATTGTACAGATTATACAGCTTTGTACAGGTCTCTATTTTTAAGTACTCTATTTGTATTCCTATTTAGTTCATCTCACAATTCTTTACTGCCTGCTTATATGGCTTAGTTTGCTGCCTGATAATCCTGCTTATTTTTTTATACTAGCTTATGCTGGTTTACTGTTTACTTGCCCCTTGCATTGGGATATGTACATGCACATTTAGAGCCAATGTACCAGAGTCAAATTCCTTGTGTGTCCAATACACCCGGCCAATAAAGCAGATTCAGATTCTGAGTAGTCTTTTCACCAAATACTTTTTTAATCTTGAGTAATATTTTGGATGACAACTTTTTTTTAACTTTTACTTGAGTAATATTATTTTGATGTACAACTACTCTTACTTGAGTACAATTTGTGGCTACTCTACCCACCTGTTTCTTTTGTGACCAGTGCTCTTATTAAAGACAGGGTGTTCTGCTTTTACTCATCTGGCCTCATAATTGACTTCACCCTCAACATTACTGGCAACTTTATGCCAACATGGACCAGAATTCTGATGTGACAGGTGTAATGCTGTGTGATGGACATGTCAAAAGAAGTGACATGGTCGTGAATTGATATGCTGAGACACATGGTGTCAGTCTGCTTTATGCACATTTGTATTAATGTTATCATGTTGATAAACTTTGCTTTGCTAGAGGATGAATGACTTTCAGCATACAGCAGAAGGTGAACCAGCAGAAAGTTGTCACAGCTTTAAAACTAAAAGAATGATATTTCATAGTGAGTTGATAGTGGATAAGCAGATCAACACAGCTGTGAAGTCAACCTTCTTACAGATTAAGTCACCCCTCTCTCACCTTGAGATGGTTCACAATGCTGTAGCTCCTTTCCTCACAAGTATAAGTAAATTAAATCATATAACCCAGTTTTGGCCTGTCCTCACTGGTTTTCAAAATGTTAAAGACCTGACAGCTTTTTACTCATAGCTTAAGACATTCATTCATTCATTTATTTACATTGGCTTAAATACATAGTGCAGTGTCAAGTCAAAGTGTTTATTTGTCATATGTACAGTTAGGAAACGTGTTTCACTGTACAATGAAATTCTTACTTTGCCATCCACATGAATGCCACAAAAATACAAATGAAGTAGATAAACAAGCAACACAAAATCTAAGGCACTTTAAGCAGCAAATGTAGCAATATAATAAAAATATATAAGAATATAATAGAGAATGGTACATGGGAGTAGCATGTGCAGCAGTCAACAGTCAATGTGCAATTATGCATGTGCAAACTGAGAATGTAAACAGTACAGGTCAACAGTACATGATGTGTTTCCTGGTAACAAACTCCTCAGCTGTTTAGGAGTCTGATGGCAGAAGGAAGGAAAAAGTTTTTCAGTCTGGAGGTCCTGCATTTCATACTTCTGAACCTCCGGCCAGCGGGTAGGGAGGCGAACAGTCCATGCTGGGGGTGGGTGGGATCTTTGAGGATTGAGGCAGCTTTCCTATGCACCCTGCGGTGGTAAATGCTCTGCAGAGAGGGCAGTGGAGTCCTGGTGATCTTCTCCACAGTCTTTACCACTCTCTGCGCCACTCTCTATGCCCACTGCTACTGTAGACCTCTGTCCTTTGGAGGTAACTGACTGGGGTCATCTGCAAAGGGAACAGCTGGAGGAGACAAACAAGACAACACAAAGTGGTTAACATCCGTTACATCCATGACATTAAAAAAGCATTAACTATGATTTTGCAC